AAACAACCAAGCTCAGAGAACCCCAAGGACTCCACAGTTCAACCCTGAGCTACACATATTTCTCTTCTATTGGTACATTCACTTAGCTTTGCATCAATACCTCTTCTGAAGGATTTGTGGCATCCTATCAATTTAGTTACTTCTTCTTTAATAAAAATGGTATTTTATCCTTATATTTGGTCTAAATGGCAGCCATGGTGTGTGTGTGCTCTTCAGATAAGAAAAACCAAGATCATGATATGGCATGCATTTTTAGTTTGGAAGGTAATCACAAGTCCATAGCTTCTAGTTTTTATTTAATAGTAATTTGTCTAAATGATTCTGAATGTATGAGGGACGAAGGAGGAAGCGTGCAGGCTTTCTGTCTCTCTCTCGCTCTCTCTTTGTGCCTTCAAGTCAGCCTTGACTCTTGGTGACCATACAGAAAAGTCCCTGCCGTTTTCTTGGCAAAGTTTTTCAGAAGTGGTTTGCCATTGCCTTCTGCCTGGAGCTGAGAGAGAGTGGCTGGCCCAAGGTCACCCAGATCCCTTGTGCCCAAGGTGGCACTAGAATTCACAGCCTTCCAGTTTCTTGCCTGGTGCCTTAACCACCACACTGGCTCTTTTTAGCTCTTTCTGTTAGGAAAGGCTGAGTTTTATAAAAATGAAAATAGAGAGAAAGATTTTTTTAAAGCTATCATTTTGTAATATATATTCAAACATTTGCATCCAATTTGGAGGTGTGCGGATTGGATGATATAAGAAAAAGAGAACTAAAGTTCTGAAATAAATAGTAAATATCTAACTGGCAGTGGGTCATTGGATGAAAAGTATAAATTGACTTTTCTGTGGTTGACACTACAAAGTTATTCTAACTTAAATTCTATGTTAGATTTTGTTCAGGTGGCAAGAAATTTATTTTCTCAGCAGCTGGATGAGGCTGGTCAAGGCCCTGTACATGAATTTGCTAAGTTATTAGGTTCACAGGTAAATAATTTTTTTTTTTCCTGACAGCCTTCCAATAACTATGGTGGAATTTTGATTTTAAATTCCTTGAAGACTTCCAGCCCACTATGGTCTTTCAAGAGAATGACTAGAAGGGATAGAATTTCTAGGTGTGCTCATAACAAGGCACAAACTAGTTTCAATGCTCTTGTATGATCATGGTTTTCCACAAATTATAGCTAATTATTGCATGCATTGTTTGTTTGTTTAAAATAGTCGTCCCTAACCCAACACCATCCAGATGTATTAGATCCCAAACTTCACCTGAGGGCAGCAGGTGGAGAAAGCTTATTTAAAATAATTGGGGATGACAGATTAGGCACTAATAGCAGCAAGGTGCCGATGCCCTGGAGTTACTTCTGAGAGAGAGCCCTATGACTGGCTGCCTACAGGCAAATTAAAAACTTTTCCTTTAAAGATCCCAGCAATTCTTGAAAGTTACCTGTTTGATTATCTATAGTTCTCACTCTCTTTTCTACTGCTATCTTTCATGTGTTATTTGTTTTGTTGCCATTTTAATTGTAGCTTGTTGAATTTAACTAGCCCAATTCCTTCCACTAATGTAAATAGTTTTGGGGGGAGTATTGGGGGGAGATGGGCAGCTGAGAAATTTAATAAATAAATAAATAAATAATTGCGGCTAACTACTACAATACACTATCTAGTATTTTGAAATGCAAAAATGAAATAGTTCTCCACCCACCCTCTTTAATTGTACATGTTAGTTTTGTAAGTTTAATTTATCTATTTACATAGTAGAGAGGACTTTCTGCTAAGTCGACTGGGTTAGAAAACTTAAACATTAGGTTAGATAACAGACTAATTTTATTATTTTTTCTGTTATCTGTATCCATATATTCCCTCATGCTCAACTTGTGCTCCTAATTTTTCAATGCATACAGCTTGTATCCTGTGATCTTCTGGATATACACGAAATGGAAGAACTTAGGAAAGAGAAAAATGAAGCTTTGAAAGAAATATGTCAACTGAAGGTGACATTTTGCTGTGATCATTTTAAACATCTGCAATAATCTTTTCTTATTTTAAACATATTGCAGTACCTACCACTTAGTAGAAAGGTGTGATAGATGTAGAATGATTACATAAAATTAACATTCTTTGCTTTTTTTATTCTATTAAAATTTTGTAGATATGATGCAGTTTAATTTTGCTCTTGCTATGAGAGAGAGGTAGTGTAAGTGTCTTAATGCCATTTTTGGATAGGGAGAAGAAAATATGTAGCAGTTATTTGTTTTTCTATAAAATGTCATGGTATGCCCATGTAACACTGGCTCTGTGAGCTGCACTGATTGCCAGTTAGCTTCTGGGTGCAATTCAAAGGACTGATTACAGTTTATAGTCCTTTGTGGCCTAGGGCCTGGCTATCGGTGGGACCACCTAGCTCTGGTACTTTCTACCCATTCTGTATGATGGTGGGCATGCTTTGGATTCAATTAATCAAATAGTGTCACCTGAGGACACCCAGGAAATGGGCCTTCTCTCTCATAGTGCCTCCATCCCCCCAGATATCCATATGGCCCCAGTCCTACCGATCATTAAAAGTCTGAAAATCTGACTGTTTCCCCAGGCCTTGGGTTAGGGTGGATGACAAGCCCCTTTTAAGATTTTAGGATTTTATATATTTGCTGAATGTCTTTTTCCAAGATACACTTTGGTTTTTTGTGTTTTTTGGGGGTTCTTTTACTTTTGATGTTGTACGCCACCAGAATCATATGGAATTGGACAGCCTTCTTAAATAAATAAATAAATAAATAAATAAATAAATAAATAAATAAATAAAGTCCTGTCCCAGCTATTGTTCACTAATAATTATTTCTGATTGCTTTTTATTTTACATATTCATTTTTTTTTTATCCATTCCACTCCCATAAAGCCATTGGTTTTGTGTATGTTGCCCTGAAACCTTAGGGGAGAAAGTTGGATGAAAGCATAATTTATTTTTAAAATATCTTCCCTGTTCATTAGGAAGAGGTAAAGTGGCTCACAAGTTAAACACAACCTTTGGGGACTACATGGGTACAAATATGCAGTTTTTCAGCAACAAAAAGGGAATGTTTTGCTATTACCTTCTGGGATGTTTTTTTGAGTTCCCAATCTAGTCTGTATGTGTTAGAATTCCCTTGTAACTTGATATAGTCTTCCACATGCTAACCTTTTATGCTCCCATACACCCATCTAATGCTCCTTCCCTTCTTTTAGATTCTCACTTTTTATATACTTTTAGTTTTTCATTATATACACATACATACACACTGTGTATGTGTGTGTATGTATAAACTAAGAGTATATAAAAATGCATTTCATATATCTTTTATATCTTCTAGCTTTTCATAAATTTTTAGATTTTTATTTTTACTCTTGATGTATCCTTTATGCTTTTTTAATGACTGTACCTTTTTTGATGACTGCACCACCTTCCTTATGCTGTTCTATGACCATAATAAAGATTTGATTGATGCTTCTTAACAAGCAGTATAGATTTCTAGTCTTGTACATGTGCTGAGTTTTAAGCCTTTTTTAAAATTGTTACTTAGTGTAAGATTTTAAATGTACTGGCAGAAGGTTTCTGTCATAATTTTTGTTTCATTAGTTCTCTACTAACTTCATGGAATAATCACTGTTCCTGTGTGATTGCCTGCAATAAGACTTAATTTGTTTAGTAATTAAAAACAAAAAATATTTGTTTGATTATGTCCCTTGGATATGTCCCCAGGAGAAAATTCTCTGCAGACTTCTACAATATGTCTTCAATGCTGGCAATGTGTAGTTGCTATTGCTACCTACTGCAGTGAAGTATTGTTGGACCATGTATATGCTTTAATTTGTAACTGCATTGCTTTAATTTTGATTATTTTTAACTATGGGCCTCACTGAACTTATCTATGTAAAGCTTTGATTAAATGGAATTAAGAGAGACTGTTTAACCAACTGAATCAAATGTAATGAAGTCATAGAAGTCAGAAAGCACAGAATCTCATATGTAGAGGTCCCCTGAAATTGTTTATGTAAAGAAGGGAAATTGAGAACTTTTTCATCAGGGACTTTTAAATTTTTCCAGTGTGGACAACAACTCCCATCAATAGCTGGCTGCACATGATAGGAATTAATCCAACACATCTGAAAGGCACAGGTTTGGGGATGCCTAACATTATCATTATTTCCACAAATGCTTTTGGGCCCCACATAGATTGCCAAAGCATTCTGACAATGCTTGTTTAAAAGTATATACCATACCCAGAAAAAATGGCAAGTAGCATGGAGTACCCTATGCTGGGGAAAGGGCAAGAGGGAATAGCAAGAGCACTCATTCTCACAGGCTGCCTTCTAGTGTGTGGGAGTTTTGTGGCTTGCCCTGCTCACCATGACAGCTAGTTTGCAAGAGCACCTGTAACATGCTCAGAAGGTGGCCTGCCGCTGGGAAGGAGATTGCCTGCCTAACCAGCCTTCTGAAGTAGTTTGGAGTGGAGGAAGAATTTGTCTCTGTGAAGAAAATAAGGCATCTTGGCCTGTGATCTCAGAAAAATGGGATCAACTTGGAAATAGTTTTCTGGGGGAACACATGGCCCTAAAATCCACTTCCAATGGGAAAAAAGTCAGTAACCTTGGTTTATTTGTTATAGAAGGGAATCACATATACAGTACTGTGCAAAAGTTTTAGGCAGGCGTGAAAAAATGCTGTAAAGTAAGAATGCTTTCAA